TAAAAATATAAAATTTATCTTTTAATATTTTAAATAATATAATTTTACTGGTCCCACCCAACTGCAGCTGACGCCCACTTGCTTACGTGCGGCTCTGCCGCCTGGCTGACGCATCTACTCGTCGTTCCCTTGCTGACGTGTAGTCCACGCACCTTGTCGGAAGAAAAATAATTGGTTAAACCCTAATTTGGTCTCTCAACTATTATATAGACCCTCAATTTGGTCCCTAATTAAAAAAAATTCATGATTCACTAATTTAACCTCAAGTTAATTTTTCCATGTAAAAATACAATACGTGTCTCATTATTAACATGACATGTGATAATTTAATAATGATTTTTTACCATTAAATAATGAGCACGTCAATTATTTTTTAACAAAAAAATTAATTTAAGATCAAATTGATAAATAATATAGATTAAATCAAGATTTTTTTAATTTAAATATCATATCTAAGATCCATGTAATAATTGAGGGATCAAAGATTTAATAAAATAATTTAAAAATAATTTTTTATATTATTTTTTTATATAGTCTTATCATTTAAATGATAATGATTTATAACTTATCTTACTGTGGATCCCACATGTCGATGACGTGACGCTTTAACAATAAAGGTCCCCTTCCCACATCATTAATATTTGGCTCAAATTTAAATTTTTATATAATTTTTATCCTTAAGCTTTTTTATGTATATTTTTTTCCATTAATTAAAAATATATATTTTTAGTTATTATGTTAATTAGTCGATTAAGTTTGTTTAAATATGCATATATTTAGTTTCTTAACTTTAAGTTGAATGATGAAAAATGTGTATATATTAGAATTTGATGAATTAAAAATATGTAAATTTAGATAAATTTAATACATTAAGTGATTAAAAGACCAAAAAAATGTATAAAAAAATTAAGAGATGCAAATTTTACAAACTTTAAAATTCAGCGACAAAAATTCACATTTAACCTTAGTATTTACTACTTAAGTATTTAGATGAGTAACCTCCTTACTTGTTATGTTTTTATATTTGAAGACCTTGTACTAATTATTCTTATTTTTCACACCTCATTATTTTTAAAGTATTAGAATTCATATTTTATAGAATGAGTTATACAATAAAATGTAATTTTTTAAAATAATTTTAATAAAATGTAATTTTTTAAAATAATTTTAATAAAATGTAATTTTTTAAAATAATTTTAATAAAATGTAATTTTTTAAAATAATTTTAATAAAATAATATAAAAAATTTTATTTAGAATATTTTAATAAATTTATAAAATAAATTACACTTTTAATATATAGTATACCCTATAAAACTCTTTTTTTAATAAAGTATTTATTTAGATAAATACTTATTTTTTTTTTAAAAAAGGACAACTATTGCATTGCATATTATATAGAGATTAGTTTTCATGTATCTTAAAATTAATTTCACTTTGACTATTTTTGGATGCTTGTCCTAAAATTTAAATTATAAATTTAACTTATAAAATAATATTTACTTTTCAATAGATCCACCCCTTAAGATTAAAGATTGGTTTTATTTTATTAGAAGAATGAGTTTGCATGATTAATTTGTTGTCAATAGTAACATATTGAATTGAAAAAAATTAATTTTGAAGATTAATTGTGAGTGAAGCCAACACAATATTGTTGGTAAATCAAAAAAGCATACACCAACTTTCATTATTAGGGTATAAAAGCATTGTTTTGTTACCTAAAAATGATAATATTTATCTAATTACATAAAAAGTAGTTTTTAACCCAACTCTCTTGTATTAATTAAAAAGAGAGGTAAATATTAACCGTGAACTTGTAATCTTAATCTTATTAATAAAATAAGGATGAGTTAAAAAATCATCAAGGTTGGTTTGTTCATGACTCACGAGTTATTTTTTCAAGAGATTGACTTGCTAAAAAAAAAAACGTACATTTGAGATTTAAAATTAAAATATAGTGAAATACAGGGACCATCTGAACATTTCTCTGTTTATTATGTACCAGAAAATAGTTTCATTTTTAATTTTCACACATATCTGGGACAGGGCCGAGCCGCCGAGGTTATTTCCACCGTTCAAATTTGTTAAAAAGATCAGTTTCTTATTTCCCGGGCCCGACTTAGAGGAGAATACCTTTGGTTAAGTGAGAACTACGGACACGTGAATTACATTTTTAAATAATATTTTAAAAAAAATTAATTTTAATATTTAAAAATATCAATATTATTCTTTTTATTTCTTTTCAATAATTTGAATTTAATTTTTTATATACATTTTAAATAAAAATTTAATATATTATATAAATAAAAAATATTTAATAACTTAAAATAATTCAAATTGTAAAATTACCTGATATTTACCTTTAAATAGAGGATGAGTTTTTTAATATATGGAAATGTTTTTATTTAATAACTTTTATTTTATAGTTTAAAAATAATTCAAATAGTAAAATAACAAAGTCTTGTATAAATGATAATTAAAATTTTATTTTATCAAATAAAAATATTTAACAAAAATTATATATAAATTATTAATTTTTAAAAAATATATTTAAAAAATTAAATAAAAAATAATTATTTTTTAAATCAGTAACCATTTCGAAGTACAATTATTGAGGACCCCTTAACAAATGGAGCGGTGACCGTCTCCCATATAGGCAAAAACCAACATTTAGTCCATTACCTTACAAAATTAATAGGTTTTAACTATTCATCTTATGATACGATATTTTTAGCTTTTTACCTTACTAATTTGATAGATTTTAACCCTTTACTTTATAAAATTGGTAGGTTTTAACCCATCACCTTATATTATAACATTTTTAACTCTTCACCTATACGAATTGAAAAAAATAATTCACACATAATATTAGGTTCTAACATTTTATTGGTTCTGTTAAGTGACTATTAACATCTATTAACATTTCGTTATAAAAAACATAAAATTTAAATTCAATTTTATTTGTTAGTTTTATTAACGGAGTGCTAACGGATGCTAATAATCAGTTAACAAAACTAACAGTTAATTAATAAAACTGACAGAATATTATAATCTGATGTTAAGTGGGAGTTATTTTTTTAAATTTGTATAAATAAAGGATTAAAAGTGTCATAATATAAAGTGATGGGTTAAAACCTATTAATTTTGTAAGGTGAAGAGTTAAAACTTATTAATTTTATTAAATAAAAAACTAAAAATATCATATTATAAAGTTAAAAGTTAAAATCCA